TCCTGTTTTACACACCCTTGGGGCTCTCAGACTGAATCAAACCTGATGGGGCCGTTTTCTCCCCCATCTGTAGCATTTCCAGCAGCTGCAATGGAGAGAGCTTGGCCCCAGGACCTGGAAAGGCCTTTTTGAGTGTCCAGGCAGAGGCCTTGGCAGGAGTCCAGGACTATCTTGTGGCTGAGGTGTCTCAGCCCTGTTCAGCACCTCCTGGGGTGTCTCCGTGCTCCCCACTGGTCCTCACCTGCAAGCTGAACTCTCATGGCTGCCTGGCCCATCCCCAGGTCATTGGAGACGCGGCAGATGAAAGTCGTGTTGATGAACTCCTCAGTGGGCTGGATCAGGAGCCGGGAGCCCTGGAGTACAGCAGAGCGGGGCAGGGGGCCCGTAGTCCTGGGGACCCAGGCGGGTGAGAATGCAGCCTCTGCTGGAGCCCAGAGTGACAGGAACTGAGGAACCCCAGCACCTCCCCCTGTGTGACCTGTTAAGTTTTTATTCGTCTCAACTCAACAACACATGATATGATACATAAGAAATGAGAAACGGAATGGTGGGCTGTGGCAAAGGAAGGCCTGCATGCAGGCTGGGAGCAGTCAAGACCAAGAGGCAGTGTTTGGTGGACCCGGAGTGATCTCCCCATGAACCTTCCAGGACAACAGGTGGAGGATGGGCCACAGGATAATATTGCTTTGGAGTCAATTAACTCTATAGCATAGCATCAGTTGTCTTCCTGTGTCTATACAAAAAGCACATTGCTAAATAAACCATATAAATGACATAAAGGAAAGAGAAAAGCAATATAGGATTATTAGTTGTGCCTCAGTTGCTGTGTTGTAGGAGTGGCTCAATAAACCTTAAGCTCCCTGTGGGAGTATTTTCCAAAAGTGACCCAAGTAGAGGGGCATCTGGAGTCCCCCGGACTCTCCCTCTCACACCCCTATTTCTGCTCACCAGATCCGGAGACCCGCTTTCAGAATCCACCCAGAAACTTCCAGTCCTCAGGGCCTGTGTGGGCGCTGCTCTGACCCCATCCCCTGGCTCTTGCGCACCTGTAACCTCCCAACACACACCTGGTGGCCTAAGAGAACTCACTAGCTCCAGGCCCTCCTCTGCTCAGTGACACTAAGAACTACTGCCTCAGGCAGAGGAAAGACCAGCCCTTAGTTTGGGTCCCCAGTGCTGCTCCAATCCCTCAGACCCCAGGTCAGATGCATCCTCCCTTATTCTTGTCTCCAAATCCTTGGGTGGACCCCAGCCAATGAAGCCCTACTGGGTATAGGTGATCTTTGACTCCGCAAGGCCCAGAGCTCAGTGGGAAGTGTGGGGATCGGGGCAGGAGGGTGAAGATGGGGCACAGAGCAGCCCTGGGAAGAGCTGGGGTACCTGCCGCCTGGGCTGAGACCCCCAGAACCTGTGTGTGCAGGAAACCTTCATTTAATTTAAAGATAATCTGGATGTTCTTGCTGGGGTTGTGCTCAGGAACTCTCCCATGTGAGTTTCTGTCTGCCACTGAGCTGAAGTCCTGCCATAGGCAAGACAGTCTAATAGGGTCAGAGGTGACCCTGTCTGGATCCCTCTGTTTCTCCTTTCTTGAAGACCAGCAGTCCATCCCCAGCCTCCTCCCTCTGATCCAGAAGTTCACCCCTAGTATCTCTTCCCTCAGACCCTGGCAACCATCACATGGCCTCCTCCCTCAGAATCAGGAGGGCATGCCCAGAACCTCCTCCTTCAGACCCAAGAGTCCATCCCTTGTGCCTCCCCCCACCCCCAGATCGAGGAATACATCCACATTTGTTCTTCTGTCAGACCCTGGAATCCATCACCTCAGACCTACTTGTCCATCCCCAATCTCCTCCCTCAGACCCTGGGCCCATTCTCCCAGCACCTTTCTCAGGTATAGGAGCAGATCAGCCCCTCCTTCTCCTCACCTTGGAGTCTGGGCACTCAGGTGCTGTCCCACAATAATTGGGAGTCCATCTCAGCCTGCTCCGTCAGACCTTACAACACCCCTCATGGTGTCTCCCCTCAGAACTGATCAGCCCCAGGACTCACGTGCTCCAGTCATAGCTCTTGGGCTCTGGGTTGCTGCGGGAGTCACAGGTCAGGCTAGTCTCCCTGTGGCCCTGCTGCCCAATGTTCTCATAGAGGGCGATGGAGACCTGGGGAGCATCTGTGGGGGGAACAAGGACAAGCTCAGGGACAGGAGCCCTGAGAGAACCACACTTGAGGAGAAGAAGAACCATTACCCATAGTTCAAATAGGAGCAGCTAAGTCTGGGCAACATGACATAACTCTGGGTGCATATGGAGTGTCCTGGGAGGGTCAGAGTTTTGCTGTGTTCCTTTAGTGACCTGGGGACAGATGCCAACTGTGCTCAAGGGGTTCAGACCCAGCTCTGCAGTGTCATGTGCTTGGGAATTTCTGCTCTGCTCCCTGCTGCCAGGGCCTGCAAATGCAGTAGAGTGTGTGTAGGCAGGGGGGAAAGACAGGCTGTGAGCGGGTGTATACTAGGCTGGGCCAATAAGTCTGTATCCTCATTGTCCACACTGCCTGTCAACTGGCACAGTGTCCATGAAGCCCTTGACACTCTATGGTCCAGAGGAACCAAGATGCAGAATTAGTGACAGAGCAGACAAGAGTAGAAGGTTTTGTGACTAATGATCTAAGGTGCTGTGGAGGTTGTTAGTACGATGAATGCTCAAAACTCTGTTCTCCTGTCAGCAGGAGAGATAATACAGTGGGTAGGACATTAGCCCTGCACGCGACCAACCTAGGTTCGATTCCTAGCATCCCATATGGTCCCTCAACACAAAACCACCAGTAGTAATTCCTGAGAATACTCAGGAGTAATCCCTAAGCATCTCCTGTTGTGGCCTTCCCCCCACCCCCGCCCAAAAAAAAAAAAAAAACTGATCTTCCTCTGGACAGTTTCACTGTCCTTGTTCTTATGTGGGCTGTAAAGCCTCAAACCACCTCTGCTGCTCCTATGGGCAGCTCTGGGATGGGTGTGGCGATACAAGCATCCCTGAACAGTGGATCTGGGGTGCAGATGACCCATAGAATGTATGTCAGACACTAACAGACACACACATTTGGGGAACGTCAGGACAGAGCTCCCTATAACCCACATCTGGCTGTTCAGTGGACTCATCTGGGGGCATTAGTGGGGATGAGGCTGTGTGGGGAGGACCAAGCAGATGGTGTTGGGGGCCATGTAGACAGCCACGGGGCATCAGGGAGGCAGCTGTGGTGCAGGTAGGCAGCCCCTGAGGAGCTGGACAAAGGGCAGTGTGTTCTGTGCCGGGGTGCACAGTGTAGACCCTTCTCCTGCAGGGCCAGTGTATACAGGGCAGGAAATGAATGGGGTCCATGGAGGCATGGTCTCAGCAGCCAGTGTAGATGACACAGGGTACAGTGAGAATTTCCCTAACTTTAGCCCTGACAACTACAGTAGTCTAGGGATAGTGTTGTCTGCCCCAGCGAACTAATGTCAACCAGTGGCATTAAACCCTTTTGCACCTACAGACCAGTGAAAATAGAAATACTTTAGCAACCACTAAAAAAAGAAATAAACAAAATTTATAAAGTACTTTGTGTATTCATTCTTAACTCTATTATTATAAAAAATCTACATTTATTTAATTTACAAATAACCAGAAATCAAGCAATAAACCAAAATGCTACTGACAAGTTGTACTGAATTTTCCTGTGGCCCAGCAGGAAATTTTTGCAGATCAGCACCAGTCTGTGGACAGGGGTTGAAAGGTGCTGGTGGGGATGCTGGAAAGGGGCGCAGGAATGGGCTGGGAGCTGAGCAGGGGGTGTGGGGGCAGTAGGTGCCAGAGTGGGCAGCCCAGGGCAGAGAGCAGCTGAGGCAGTATGTGTAGACTCTGCTGAAGGAGCAGGTGTAGACAGTGTGGGAGTCAGTGTAGATGGCAGTCGGGGAGGGACAGGGGAGCAGGAGTAACTGTGACTGGAGAAGTTGGAGGAGGCAGCAAAGGACTGGTGGTAGTGGCCCTGGTGTAGACAATGAGAGTGGGTGTGGTGATGGTGGTCCCAGTGTAGACGATGAGGGTGGGTGTGCTGGTGTTGGTCGTGAGGTCACGGCAGCGCTGTTGTCACTGGGTTGGAGGCAGGAACTGAGCGTGTGCATCTCAGTTTCTCAGCCTTCACCTGGATAAACTCGGGGGAGTTTGGTTGCTAATTCAGGTTCCCAACTCCGGTCTGTTTAATTGTCCTGGCCTGGGCAAAAGAAAAAGAAAACCCTAGAGGTTGGAGCGATAGCACAGCAGGGAGGGCGTTTGCCTTGCACGCATCCAACCCAGATTCAAATCCCAGCATCCCATATGGTCCCCCAAGCACCACCAGGAGTAATTCCTGGTGCAGAGCCAGGACTAACCCCTGAGCATGTCCGGGTGTGACCCAAAAAGCAAAATAATAAAAATATAAATAAATAAATTTGGGAGCTTAGAGAAAAAGAAAGAAAAAAGAAAACCCTCAACCAAATTACTCACCAAATTCCTATTCAAGAACCAGGCCATTCCATCTCTCCCGACCCACAACATCTCCCGCTCTAACTGGCACCATACCCATCCCCAACCCCACCATTGCAGATTTACCTCCTTTGGTCTCTGCACTGCCCCCTCCCTCTCTGAGTCCTTCCTGGACTCCTGGTACCCAATAGCCCCACCCTTCACCTCCCTGCCCAGAAGCCCCACCCACTACCACGCCCCTCCAGGAAACCCCGGCCCTCACACTCACAGAACACACGGAGCCAGATGAGCACACTCCCCATCTGGAACATGCTGATGTGGATCTCGCAGGTGTAGTTGGCTTCGTCCCCAGGGCTCAGCTCACTTATGGCCAACGAGGCATCCAGGAGGTCCGCACCCAACCTGGCTGCCACGAACCGCACACGGTCGGGCTCCTGGATGCTGGGGCCCCGCTCCCAGTGGAATTCGGCCACAATGCTGGCATCCCCCAGCGATTCCAGCCGCTTCCACCTGATCTGAGTCACCTGCTTGGTTTTGGACTCGAGAGGTTGCAGGTGACATGGCAGGGTCACGGTGCTGCCCAGGGAGCCATGAACCTCGGTGGGTGCCAGCACGACCACCTTCCCGGCCTCTGTGGGGGAAATGGGGAGAGGAGAGGGACAATTCTGAGGGGGCTGCAGATCCCAGAAGCCAGGTCTGGATGGGGAGGGGCCCTGGGGTGTTCAGCTAGGTGGTCACCTTCAAGCCAGGGGGATGGACAGTGAGGGGGTGAGGGCTAGTTAGGTGGGGCAAGGTGGGATGAGGAACTGACAGGTGTACTGTGGGGTGCAGATGCTTCTCTGTGCTGTAACCAGAGTTAAAATTACAAAGTTTCCCATATTTTAAATTGTGAGAAAATATTGTGGTTAAAAAATTTCATGTGTGAGGCCAGAGCAATAGTATAGTGGGGAGGGAGCTTGTCTTGCACACGGATGACCTGGTTTGGGTCCATATGGTCCCCAAGCGCCACCAGGATTATTTTCTGAGTTCAGACCAGGAGTGACCCCTAGCACAATGAGTGTGATCCTTAAAACTGAAAAGAAAAAAGAAAATTCTGCGTTAAGGTTCCAGAGAAATAGTACAGCAGGTAGTGCATGGCCTACTGAATTCAATCCCCGCCACCCAGTATGGTCCCCCAACACACCAAGAGTGATCTCTGAGCCCAGATCCAGGATTAACCCTTCTCTATTGCTGGGTGTGCCTCCCCCCCACACACACATACAAAATCCAACGGCTGCAGCAATAATACAATTGGTAGAGCATTTACATGCAGCCATCCTGAGTTCAAGCCTCAGCATCCCGTAAAGTCCCCCTGAGCACCCCCAGAAGTAACTCCTGAGTGCAGAGCCAGGAGAAACCCTGGGCACTGCCAGTGTAGCCCAAAAGAGGAAAAGATAAAAATCCATTTGAGACTGGAAAGAGAGTACAGCAGGTAAGGCATTTGCATTCCGTGCAGCTGACTTGAATCAAACCCCAACTCAGATATGGTTCTCGGAGCGCTGCCAGGAGTGATTCCAGAACACAGAGTGGAGTAAACCCTGAGTACCTAGCAGGAGTAAGCCCTGAGCACCACAAGGTATTGTGACCAGGTAAACTAAAGTTAGCAGAAAAATGCAGGTGGCTCAAAAGAAGACCTGAGAAACAGAATGAAACACTCCAGGGATGCAGGGACCCAGGAACAGGAACCCCCTAAGATTAACCCTGAGGATATCCTGATTCATAGACAAAGTTGCTGCCATGCATTGCTCATTTCAGCTGCCATTTTTGTTTCTTAAAATGGTGGTTTTAACCATTTAAGGGAAACCATTAACATCTGGGCTCTGTACTAAAATCATGTCCGCTTGCTTGGAACATTTCCCAATTGATGTTGCCAAACAGGATGTGATAAGAATGTATAAAAACTCTGCCTGGAATGGGGCTGGAACGACAGCACAGCAGGTAGGACATTTGCCTTGCACGTGGCCGACCTGGATTCGATTTCCAGCATCCCCATCTGGTCCCCTGAGCACTGCCAGGAGTAATTCCTGAGTGCAAAGCCAGGAGAAACCCCAGAAATACACCCTGTGTATTGCCGGATGTGACCCCAAAAAACAAAACAAAAAAGTCTGCCTGGAAGCATGTTGGGGCTGTTGGTAGCACTGAGCCCCATGCTCTCAGGCTCAGCAGACCCTGCAGACTAATAAAGACCCTTCAATTCAGTAAACAGTGGTCTGGAGACTTCTTAGGTAATCTCTCACTCCAGAGTAGGACCCAAAACAAAAACAATTAAAAAATGAAAGAGGAGAAAGAGAGCTCTGCTGGGAGGCAGCAGACTGGTTTGAAGCTCAAGAACACTGATTAGACCATTTATATGCACAGTTAAGGGTGGTCAGTACATTCAGGGCCCTCGGAGGATGACCCTGTCCTTTATTGCACTGGGCACCCCCACTCCCCACTTAGAGGGGTGCATAGGGAAGATGCACTAGCTCCAGAAACTATGAGAAAGGTGTCATTATACCTGGGGAACCCAGGCTTGAGAGGGCGGGCATCCTGGCACAAGAAGGGGCCAATTACAACCTTCAGACTCTACTGAGAGGCATCAGGCTGGTTTCTGAACCTTTCTGGTCCTTCTTCCTAAATAGTAAAAAGGGACTGAGAACAGTGACCCCTCCTGAGTGCTCCCACAGTCAGGGCTGTTCTGAGGGTTCCCCGGCTCAACACTGACTATCCCAACAGCACTCCGAGGCAAGTGCTGTTGTCAAACATGCTTCATAGAGGGGAAATTGAAGCACAGGGTCCTTTGCTGCAGTCATAGCAGGTAAGGGCAGATGTGGGATTTGAGCCTGGGCATCTGCAGGCAAGGTCTGGACTGACTCCAACCCACCAGGCGGCTATGGACATCTCTGCTGCAGCAGAACTCAACAAACCATCAAAATACAGGGAGAAAGATAAAATTCTTCTTTCCTTAGTTGGTTTCTTGGGTTTACACAACATGGTGTGACCTTGGCTCATCACTGGGGGTCAGTTATTGGGGGGCCATGCAGTTCTGGGGTCCGTGGAGAAACTCCCATGAGCAGAGCAGACCCTGTGCTCCAGTCACTGAGCCCTCTCCCGCGCCCTGCACATCCACATGGCCAAGACATGGGTACACGCTCTCTGTCACCCAGCAGGGAAATGTACATGTGCTGTCTCTGCCACCTGTGCTGGGGGTGGGGGAGAATCAAGCCTTAACCCACCACTGGAGGGTTATAAACTGGACCAGCTTATTGGTTACAGTAGAGACATTTCTGGAAAACTTAAAACTAAGGGGCCAGAGAGATAGCCCAATGGGTAAGGCGCTTGTTTTGCATGTAGCCAACTCAGGTTCAACCCTGACACCTCATACAGTCCCCCAAGCTCTGCCAGTATTGATCCCTGAGCACCACCAGGTGTGGGGGAAACCCACTTCCAATGGTTACAGACACACTCACTGTCCAATTCCCTAGGAAAGACTCATCAGTCCATTCAAACTGCAAACTGACTCCCCAGCTCAGTGCCCTGCCCGGCCAGGCTTACGGCTCCTCTGCCCTGACCTAAACAAATGCACCCAGGATGGTGGCTTTAGTTGTGGATTTGGGTCCTGACCCAGAGTGTCCACTAGTCACAGCCTTAATGATCTCAGAGTTTCTGTCTGTGCATCTACACATCTGCCACCACCCCCTCCCCAGAAAGGCCCTGAAAACTCACTCCAGTTTCCATGTCTAAAAGTGCTCTGAGCTCAACAGACTCAGGAGGGTCCTTGGGACCTGCCCCCTCAGGGACAGCGGCAGGTGGTCACCAAGTGGATACAGGCTGGGTGCACCATGAACAGCTATCCTAGAGCCACACATCTGGGTCGCTGGGCCCTGGCCCTGCCATGCATTGGTGTTTAATCTGGGGTCCCTGGGGAGAAATGTCCAGGAGTTTGAGGGGTCTCTGTGGGTCCCACCTTGCTTCCTTTTCCACACCGGTTTCCCCTAGGGGACTGAGCTGCCCTCTCCCTGCGGCCACTGCCCCTGCATCCAGGGGTGGCTGGAACTAGGGACCAGAAAGGAGGGTGGCTCTAGCCTGAGGGAGTCAGTGGGGCTGAGCACAAGAAGGGGAGACCAATAATGTGGGCTCACCCATCAGCATCCACAGGACACCAGGACATCAACAGCCAGAACAGCGGGTACAGGAACAGTTGGGCAGGGGCTGGACCACAAAAGGGGTCCTGGGGTGCAGGGCAGCTGCTGAGGTGCCTGTGTGTTCTGTTATTTCTTCCTTGTAGTGATTCTGAGAATATGCACAGTGGGGCCCAGAGCCTGGGTGAGCCCAGGTGGTGACTGAGCTGGGAGCACCCGCCCACAGTGAGGCCCTGAGCCAGCGCTGTGCCTGCCACCCAATTCTGTCCCCTACTGGCCAGGTGAGGAAACAGGCATGCCCAACACACCAGGTCCCTTCGTAGTGCTGGTGGCTGGGTTGAGACGGGCCTGAAGTGGGGTCGGATCCCAGTTCTTGCCCATCTGCAGGCTTTCACAGTAGTCTCGAGCCCCGGGCTACTGTGACAAAATTGCTTCCCCTCTCAGGGCCTCAGTTTTCCCAAAAATGTGTTCCTAGTTTGATCCCCAGCACATATATCATCCCCAAAGTATCGCCATCAGTGACCCTTGAGCACAGAATTAGGAGCAGCCTCTGAACACGAGCAGGTGTGGCCCCAAAACAACAAACAGAGGCTGCAATCATGAAGGGCACCTGGACTGGTCCCCCTTGTGCAACCCTGTTTGGACACTGCCGCCATGGGCCGGTATGAGCCCTGGAGTGCCGTGTGCAGAGCCACACCCTCAGTGTGAGGGTTTCCCCCTCCTGAAGGGAAGCAGCAGGGACCAGCCTGGTCCTTCTCCCCACGAGGATGCAGCGCGGGTGAGACTTTCACTTCTGCAAGCCAAAGCTCAGCACCCAATGCTGGCACAGAGACCCCAGGACAGGACAGGGCAGCCTCCATCCGGTCACCCACATCTGCCGACCTCCTTCCAAGCACTTCCCCTCCCTCCTGTCCCTCGACCCCATTTTGGGGCGATTCTCATTGGTTGATCCCCTCCTTGCACCCACCTCTTACAGCCCCAAGTTCTCTCAAGTCCCAGGAATGTGAAACCAACCTCCTGGGCCCACGTTCTACTCTCACGACTCAGGGACACACGGTGGGTCTCTGGGGAGCTGGGACAAGGTCCGCATTCTTCTACTTTATAAACATTTTTTTGGTTTGCATTGGGCCACACCTGGTGATGCTCAGGGCTCAGTTGTTGGCAGGGCTCAGGGGAACATATGTGGTGTCGAGACTCAAACCTGAGTTTGTTGCGGGCAAGGCAAGTCCTAAACTCTGAGCTGTGGCTCTAGCCCCTAATTTTATCTGGTATGTACCCATTAATCTCTTCCTCCTCTCTAACATGTACGTGTACGTGCTCTGTAAATAATGGTACTTAGATAAAGTGCACTCATGAATGGTGAGTATGCTCTGTGTAGGTGTGACTATGTGTGTGTCTGTGAGACAGCAAGCTTGGGACCAGAGCAAAAGCAGTAGCACGGAGGGCATTTGCCTTGCATGCAGCCAGCCAACATTCAATGCCCAGCACCCCATATGTCCTACCAAACCATCAGGTGTAACCCCTGAGCACAGTTAGGAGTAATTCCAGAGAACTGCTGGGTGTGACCACAAAAGCATCTAGTCAAAGAACACAAAACCCTCTGCCCGATGGATCCAGGAACACCTCAGGTGGTAACTTCTGTCAGAAAGATCCCCCCAAACTCTGCAAAAGATGCTCTGAATGTCTTTGACTCACAGTCCCACCCCAGGCTTTAGAGCACATGGTGCCCAGCACCTGCTCAGACACCCTGGAACCCAACCTGGATCCTGAGCCCCAGTGATGGCCCCTGAGAACACGGTCTGACAACCTCTCACTCACGGACAGTCCATCCCCTCCGCTCTCCAGCATTTCTGGGGACACTGAGGTGCCTTTTCAGGGGGTCAATGTCTAACCCTGTTTTAAGCTGAGACTGACTTGGGTGTGGTTGCCCTGGTCCCTGGAACATTGGGGTGAGGGGCACAGTGAGAGCACAGTGTTGGGTGAATGCTGGCCAATGGGCACCCTCAGAGCTGGACATTTGGGTGCAGAGTGGAATGGGATACTGTGCCCCTCTGTGGAGTGACTGAGCCCGAGACACTTGCTCATTCCCTGATGGCTGCAGGGTCCCCATGAGGCCATTGATTCTGCCTGTGGGGGAGCAGGGGTAGGGCGAGCACTGCGAAGGGCTGGGAGCCTGCAGGAACCTGAGGGTCCGAGCGCAGAAGGGGTCACTTACCGGCTCTGGTGGGCGCCCAGGACAGTAAGAGCAGACGCAGCAGCAGAGTCAGGCCCAACAGGGTGTGAGGCGGGGCCATACTGGGGGTCCTAGAAGGCCGACAAGGGGGCTGGGGTCTCCTCCGCCCTTGGAGGTCAATATCTGCTGATTGATTCCGTATGTGCTGGAACGCAGGGGCAGCTACTCCTGCAGGAGCCTGTTTCCATTACTTAGACACTTGTTGCTGAAAGGCCTTTGAGCTCAACTTTAAAGTCTCCTCATATTTCATATATTCTGCAAATGCCAGTCCCTCTCACTGGACCATCCAACAGCTTGTGAGGAAATAGAAGCCAGTTTTGGAAAGGAGCTGTTAACTCATGGCCCAGCTGGACTTAATCAATAAAGACGACAAATCCACCATCTGTTCCTTTTTCTTTATTTCTTTTTTTTTTTCTACATCAAAGGGCGGTCAGGATCACTGCTGGCAGGATCCAGGAACAACATGGGGTGCCTGCAATCTTACCTTTGTTGGCTGCTTATAGGCAACAGATGCAAAAGAAAACAAGAACAGCTTCCTCTTCATCCCCAACGCTGTGCTGGTCTTCTTCCCCACCCAGGTCAGTTTATCTGCCAGTATTCGAACCCAAGACTTGGCTTTCTCCGTGCAAGTGTCCCAGGCGTCCTCTTGGACCCTGGGACAAAAGCAGCCCTGAGCCTCTGCCTCTTCCTCTTCGTCCCCAAAGCTGTGCCCGTCTTCCACCCCACCCAGCCTTTACCACCGTCCCCCCCACCCCCCCCCCCCCGCCGTCCCGTGGGGGCGTGACCTCTTCAGAAGTGAGCGTGGCTAAGGTAGAAGTGGGCGTGGTCTAATTTTAGGCAAGCCAACGCTCACACGGCGCATATAGTTTAGCCATACCAAGAAATCTAGTGTAACATCACAGTCCCCATACCTACATACCAACATGAAGAAACAACGCAAATGCCCACCACGTGGGGAGGACGATGAAAAGAGTCCAGAAGCCTCAGTAGGTGCTACTCACCTAAGGGACCTCTCTGACAAAGAATTCAGATGTGAAGTAATGAAGATGTTCAATGAACTCAATGAAACAGTCAGACAGATATCCAGTAAATTGAAGGAGGACATGAAAGAAACAATGGGTCGGACAATCGAGAAAATCCAGGAAGAAATGAGAGCAGAAATTGGAAAGCTACTCACAGAAATGTCACGAATTAAAGATTCCATAGATGAAATAAAAAACTCAGTCTGTGCCCTCAACAGTAGAATGACCACAACTGAAGACAGAATCAGTGAGCTGGAAGATCAGCTGCATGAAGCCAACAGGCAACAACAAACAATAGCAAGAGACCTCAAAATAGCTCTAGAGCGAATCAGAGTCCTAGGAGATGATTCCAAGAGGAACAACATTAGAATCATTGGAGTACCAGAAGCTCGGGGAAACAATCCCAATGAAAAAACCACGGTTAAACAAATCATTGCTGAAAAATTCCCAGAGCTGGACAATGCAGCCCTTCAGATTCAAGGAGCCCGAAGGGTGCCAGCTAAAAAAGATCGTAACAAAAACACTCCAAGACATATCATAGTTAGAATGATGGATGCCAAGGATAGAGACACAATACTGCAAGCAGCAAGGTCAAAGAAGGAAATCACATATAAAGGAGCACCCCTTAGATTCACAGCAGACCTATCAGAGGAAACCCTCCAAGCCCGAAGCAATGATGGGATATAGTGAAAAAACTCACAGAAATTAATGCTTCACCACCAATAATCTATCCAGCTAAACTCTCACTCTAACTCGAAGGAACAGTACACTATTTTCTAGATAAACAGCAGCTCAGGAACTTCAAAGACTCAAAACCAAACCTAAAAGAAGGGCTAAAGGGGCTACTATAAGACAAGACAAACCCTACAAGCACAACAGACCCTTACAAAAAGATGACACAAAACCCCATAACAATAATCTTTTCAACATGAACGGTCTAAATTCACCAATTAAGAGACACAGAGTGGCAAAATGGATTCAGAGACAGAACCCAACATTCTGCTGCCTACAAGAAATTCATCTCAACAGTCAGAGCAAACACAGACTCAAAGTTAAAGGATGGAAAACAATCGTGCAAGCAAACAGCTCCCTCAAAAAAGCTAGGGTGAAAAGGAGAGAAAGAACAAAAGGGAGTGCCCTGCCACAGAGGCAGGGTGGGATGGGGGGATGGGTGGTGGGAGAGATACTGGGATTAGTGGTGGTGGAGAATGGGCACTGGTAGAGGGATTGGTACTCGATCATTGTTAACTGAACACCAAGCACAAAAATTTGTAAGTCTACAACTGTACCTCATGGTGTTTCACTAATAAAAATTAAATTTAAAAAAGCTGGGGTGGCCATGCTAGTATCCGACAACATTAATTTCAGGTTGAAAAAGATTTGAAGGGACAGCGAAGGCTATTTTTTTTCTTCATCAAAGGATATGTACAACAGGAAGAAACCACACTCTTAAATGTAAACACACCTAATGAGGGAACAGCTAAATATTTAAATAACTGCTAACAGATTTTAAGGAGGACATTGCTAGCAACACAATAGTAGCTGGAGACTTCAACATTGCCTTATCACCTCTGGATAGGTCAACAAGAACAAAACTCAGCAAGGAAACATTGGCTTTGAAAGAAGATATAGAAAAGAAAGGGCTTATAGGCCTATACAGGGCTTTACACCCCAAAAAGAAAGAATACACATTCTTCTCCAGTGTGCATGGAACATTTTCCAAAATAGACCATGTGCTAGGACACAAAAAATACCTCAATAGAATCAGGAAGATAGAAATAGTATCAACAACCTTTTCAGACCATGATGCATTGAGATGGGCTGGAGCAATAGCACAGCAGTAGGGCATTTCTACTGTTACAGCAGTAGCAGTAGTAATGCCCTTGCACGCCAGTGTATGTGCACTGAAAGTACAGACAGTCATTTTTGTCCTTCTTTGTTTTGGCAGCCTAGGTCTGCCCTGAGATTTTATGAGCCTCTCCTTCCTCATCTTTCTTAACTCTGCCATATTGGTGGCTCTTTCAGGGTCAGGAGAATGGGACCCATTGCATTTATTGGTTTGGGTATATCGAATACACCACAGGGAGCTTGCCAGGCTCTGCCTTGTGGGTGGAACACTCTCGATAGCTTGCCAGGCTCTCCAAGAGTGATAGAGGCTTTTATGGTGGCAACTAATCGCCCTTACAGGTGTTCCCATGCTTCAAACCATATTTCAACGCATTCAAATATGGTGCAGTAATCTTGTATTAAATGTTTTATGATGTCTTGGGCGGCTGCAATGTGGCCACGGGGTCCAGAAATCGTCCTGGAGGGTGTCCGTGGCTGGATAGTGGAGGTAATGGAGGTAATGGAGGTCCGCCGGGCTGCTGGGAGCAGGCAGAGGATCTTTGCTCCCGGGTCTGTTGAGCCTGGAGTCCGAGGTCACAGAGTTCCGCTTTCCTGGCACTCTGGGGCTTCACCCCTGTGTGAGTCCCGGCCTAAGTGTCCAGAAAGCGTCCTGGAGGGTGTCCGCGGCTGGGTTCTGGAGGTAGTGGAGGTAATGGAGGTCTGCCAGGCTGCCTGGAGCATGCAGAGGATCTGCCAACAATGGGGATATCACAACAGAAACCAAAGAAATTCAAAAGATCATCAGAGACTACTTTGAAAGTCTGTATGCCACGAAACAAGAGAACCTAGAAGAAATGGATAAATTCCTGGATTCCTATAATCTCCAAGAGAGAGATTCTTTACAGCCTTCTCGGATCGGGGCTGAGCATCCTCCACCCAGATCCTCCAAATTCCAGTAAGCAGGGGTCACACCCACCAACTGGCCCCCTGGTGCCGTGTAATCCCATCAGCGACCAAGACTCAGAGACTATAAAACCCAGCTCCCGGAAGAGAACAACGCAGAGTCTCCTGCCCCCACACCTGGCTGTCCTCGCCAGGGCCCCTTGGAGGGGAGCGGGTTGAGTTTCCCTCCCCACCCCGACCAGGGCTCCGGCAGCCGAAGACCTCCAGAACCAGCCACCACCATGCTAAGACCACTCTCCACATGCATGAAGGTACCAGCAGAGGAACAAAGGCATGCGGGTACCAGGGCTGAGATCTCCAAGCCTGCTCGGATCAGGGCTGAGCATCCTCCACCCAGATCCTCCAAATTCCAGTAGGCAGGGGTCACACCCACCAACTGGCCCCCTGGCGCCATGTAATCCCATCAGCGGCCAAGACTCAGACTATAAAACCGAGCTCCTGGAACCACGCGGCTGCATTAGCGACTGCGCGACATCTTCTTATGACATCTTATTATCTCATTCCTACTTTTGACAAACTGGCAGGCTACTGAATGTAACCTGCCCACATGGCAGAGTCTGTTAAACTCCCCATGGCATACCCAATATTCCAAATACCAGTAACAATGATGGGTCTCATTCTCCTAACTCTGAAAGAGCCTTGAATATGGCACTTTTTTAAAAATCTCAGGGCTAGGACGAAGGAGACGTTACTGGGGCCTGTTCGAGGCAATTTGACGAATAACAGGATGGTCGTGACCTATAATCTCCCAAGCCTGAATCAAGAAGATCTACAGTACCTGAATAGACCTATTAAATTCAAGGAAATAAAAACAGCAATCAAAATCTTCCCAATAACAAAAGCCCAGGTCCAGATGGATTCACTAGCGAATTTTTCCAAACATTTAAAGAGGACCTATTGCCAGTTCTTCTCAAGCTATTCCGGGAAATTGAAGAAACAGAAACTCTCCCAAACAGTTTCTATGAAGCCCGTATCTCTCTAATACTAAAAGCAAACAAAGACACCACAAGAAAAGAAAACTACAGGCCGATATCCCTGATGAACACGGATGCGAAGTTCTCATCAAAATACTAGCAATTAGAATTCAACAACTCATCAAAAAGATGATACACCATGACCAAGTGGGATTCATCCCGGGGATGCAAAGATGGTTTAACATTCGGAAATCAATCAACATAATCCATCATATCAACAAAAGAAAAGATAAAAATCATGTGATCATATCAATAGATGCAGAGAAAGCATTTGA